TGGAAGAAAAAGGGAAGAAAAATGATTTGAGATTGTGTGAAAATGTGTTGGAAGAGAAATGATGAGAAGGGTTGAGTGAAGTGAGTGAGTGAATCAGGATAAAACAAACACAATTCAGGGTGAAAGGGAAAAGAATGGATAGGAAATGGGATTGAGGAGAGAGAAAAAAGCCGTAGGGAGGCTCAAGAAGAAGAAGAAGAAGAGATGAAGAAAATGTGTGAGGATAATGATGATGATGAAGGTGAAGGAGAATTAAAGATGGATTTTGGTTCAACTCTAAAAGGGTACAGAATTTGGGTTTACTGGGAGTGGTAACTGGGAAGGCAAAAGTGTTTTTCTTGTTGTTAACCAGTTTTGTTGGATGAAAATTGAAAGGCACACAGAATTTATCCCTTCTTTGGTTCCTTTCATTTCGCTTGCACTTTTCATCCTTTTCTTCATCTTCATCTTCTTTCCTCTAATTCTTACTTTCAACTCTTTTTTTTGCATCTTAACCATTCTTCTTCTTCTTCTTGATTCTCTCATCTTACGAATAAGAAATTAAATTGAAGCTAATTGAGTACGGGTTATGTCCTTGGTTAATTTTCATTCAATCTTCTCATGTAATTAAGGTTGAAACTGAACTTGTTGGTAAAAAGCAAAAGGAAAACTTGAAAGTGATCAACCTTTTCCTTCTTTATTCGTCTTCATCTTTTCTCCATTCCAACCTTTATTTCTCATTCTGATTTTTCGTTGCCTCCATTCTGCATGCTTGATTATCCTGTTAAATGCCAAGCTAAAATTTCGTTTCTTTTCATTCGATTCTGATGACTTTCTTTTCGAGCATTTGCTTCATTTGTAATTTCATCATCAAACTTTATCCATTTCAAAGTAAAGTTTAATTAGTAAATATTCAAGCAATGAAAAGATTTCGATTGACATTAAACAAGATTGAAAAATTTGGGTTTAGAAAAGTTTTCATGTTTCAATCCATTCCAAGTCTTTTCAGCCAACTATTTGTGTTATTTTTATGAGAGAAAAAAAAGTCCAACAAAATATTCTCTCGAGGTTGACGAAAATATTTCATTGAATGTTGAAGGAAAAGTTGGACACTTTGGCATTCCTCAAGTTGTCAAGTATCAATAATTGTCTGATTGAAACTTTGACATTTTCGTGCATCCAAGTTTCAGATTAACAGTAAAGTGTGTGGTACAATTTGGTTAATAAAACCTGAATTTCATTATTCAACTGTTTCATCAGTCAGCCAAGTTCGTGACTGGAATCAAAGTGTTTTCATGGAGCCAAAAAAAGAAGAAAAAGAAAAAGAAAAAGGGAAGAAAAAACAATTAAATTTATCCGTCTAATTAAAAAAGAGACACGTCATTATCTACTTAAAACTTGACATACCTGGACAGTTAAAGTAATGGTTTGATGGAAGAGGCAAAGCAAACACACAAAATGAAACCAAGAAAATGACCACAAAAATTTAAACTCAAATCTTTCAAGTTGATTAAACCATTTACCATTTTTACAGTCAATTTAATCGGTTCCACCTAAAGGTAAAGCAACCCAACTTGCTCGACAGTTGCAGCATCAAACTCAGTCTTTTGTCTTGCCTTATCCATTATTCAAACAAGGACAAGCTCGTCTTGAGATTTTCATTGCAACTCATTGGGATTATTAATCAAATTGTGTGTTTAAATTAATTGCTTGTTAACTGATAATTACACTCCATTGTTACCAATATACACACCATTAGTTGGTTAATATAATAACAATTTGTTTCTCACTTGGATTCAATTATTTGTTTATATTTTCCTCTTTTTTTTGCCTTTTTGTGCAGAAAAAAAAGTTACCACAAAAGATCGACTCATTTTCTAGATCAATGAATTATAATTGTTTACTGATGAATTAACTGCAAACGAAATTGTTTTATGGATCAGAAGAAAATGATTTTTCGATCATGTGAGTTGTTTGGTGTTTCGTTGTTGGGTTCTTGATCTTGATTGAAAATTTTTGTCAACTTGCGGCATTTTTTTCGTTGTCCAATTTTGGTTTGGTTAAAATGAATAAAACTGTTTGGATAAAGAAAAGTTCATTTATGATTAGTAATGAAAGCTTTATTCAGTTGCAATTGAGGGTAAACAATTGCAATGAAAAGACATTAAATCAGTCTCATAAGGAAACAATTTAAACACCAAAGAGAATATTAAGAGAAATAAAAGAAAAGAAATAAAAAGTAAGAAGAAGAAAAGTTGACCAACAATATTAAATGGTGAGTAAATTACATTTACAGCTAAAGCCAAGTTTACTCTTTGCTGGTCAACGGACACATTCAATGTCATTAGGTTGGCAAGGGAAAGAAATTGTTATTGCTTCATTGATATTTACTATTGCAATTGCGAGTTTGAATAAAGTTGATTACAACTCGGCAGAACACAAACAAAAATGTCAATTGAACGAAAAAGATATTTCGATTCATCATTATTCCAAACTAAATAGAAAAGCAATTTTCAACATTTGCTTAATCGAACGATAATTTTCCATTCATTTCGCCTAATCGATAGCGACATTAATTGTAGTTAATTTCGTTCTGAAGTCAATCTTTAGGAAAATCTTTTTCCATTACTTTTCCAATTCGTCCGAACGTTTGATGAGTTTTGTTTTGTTGGAATGAAACTGTTGAAAGTGGGAAAATTTTGGTTCGAAAAACTTGGAATTCAACTAAAAGAATTGAATAGAAATTTTGATTACTATCAAACTTTTGATATACTTTTTCAGGGAAACTTCTTAATCTTTAGTTATATTGTCATGATATTTATTAGTGAATTGAACAGGAAACACATTTTCATTTAGCATCATCATAAATTCATTGGTCGATATCGTCATTATGAATGAAATGGAAAGAATAATTTACAAGGAAATAAATGATAATCTCTTGTTAGTATTCTCGACGTTGGTTTTCAGGTGAAAATATTTTCCAATCAAAGTTGGGTTAAACTTTGAATTGTACATTGAGTCAACCCTTTTTCAGATGTCAATGAATTTCGTTACCACCTACAGGGTAAAAGTGAATGGAAGGGGAAATAAGATGATGGTCATAATGATGATGAAGAAGAAGAAAAATGTATAGAGAAAAGTGGTGATGCAGAAGATTCAGTTTTTGGTGAGTGAGTTAAGGTTTAACAAGGGATGAGAACAGGAAAGGAAGAGGATGATGATGAAGATAGGTAATCGATATGGATGACTGAATGGTGTTCAGTAAAGCATAGGATTACTTTTATTTTTGAGGTCTAAACAGAATGGTTGACCCAAGAATAGTTTCGATATCAACGATAATTGAGCTGAAAAATCCATTGAAAGGAAGGGAAAGAGAGAGAGGAAGGCAACGCCAAACGATAAGTGAAGATGAACTGAAAAGGAAAAAATGATGAAATGGAAAAGGAAAAGAAAATGTTAACAGAATTTTGTCTGTTTTATAAACTTGTTTTTCACTTTCGGACTCTTTTCCTTTTTCCCCTGAAACAACCAGACTTTTTGGCAAGAAAATGTTTATCGAGATGAAATCTTTTCCAATCCACAGACTAAATCAATCTCGAGTTCAAGATGATTAAACGGACAAAACTGGATAAGCGCAACACTTGATTTACCAAGAAAAAATGTTTGTCACTTCATGGAAAGAAAACTCAATAGAATGAAAATAAACTTTTAAAGGTTTACAATGGATTGGAAGTTTCCTTCAATATCGGATCAAACATTTTCATCTAACAAAGTTGATAATTCAAGACTGATTCAGCAAAGAATAAATTCCATTTTCGTGCAATTCTTCAGGAAACTCATGAAATAACACGCATAAATAATCTTGCTAAAACTGTTGTGTTGCCTTAAATTATCACTGATTAGCTCCTATTTGCATGAGATTATTGGACAATGTTCGAGAGATAAACGAATTTTAACATTGCATCGTCAATTCATAAAATGCAAAGTTTAAGTGAGTCAAGTTTTCTTACAATGGTCAAGATGAACACAACGTAAAGTTGCGATTTCAGTGAGGCTTGTAAGAGACATCATTCAAATGATCATCCATTCTTCTTTTACATTTTGATCGCATTGAACTGCAATTCTGCGTTTTATGCAGTTTTCTATTAAAATTTTTCTTAATATGGATTGGCGAAAAATTGCTATGAATATCTATTAATATTCAGGAAAATTTCAGTTGTGGGATAAGCGAGAAACGCAAATTATTCTGCATTTGAAGATGACTTACTTGAAATTGCCCTTTCAGTCGCTCGTAGCATAGTAAACTGAAGAGATCGTTCGCCAGCACATGGGAAGAAACGCGAAATTGTTGGTTTGATGCAGCGCAGTGGTTTCATCGATCAATTATTTTTTATGAAATTGTATCGATACCTGCTTCGACAATATTCAGTAAATTATTCTTTAATACTATGATCAGCAAGCAGATTAGTTGTTTGAGGGTTTGCTGAAGAAAGTCAGAGTTAAGATTCAAGTCTATTTTGCCATTTACAGTCTACATTTTTATATAAAAGTTTACACTCACAAGATGCTGAGGTTGGCGCGTTGAATAGCAGTTACATAGCGCTCGTGCCTGTGTGGGCTACGCGAATGGATACTCGAATTTATGAACTGAATTCTGACGAGATTAAGTTCGAGCTTGAGTTTACCGTCTTATTGATTTAATAATTTTCCGAGATACAATTTGACCTTTCCTTCAAGCTAAAATCTACAACCCAAAAGACCCAAAAACTAATTGAACATTTTTGGTTCTTTCTTTGGAATCAAAAACAGATCAAAAAGTATCTCAAAACTATTCAATCAAACCTAAAAGTTAAGTTATGCTCTTTATTATTTCTCGATCTTTGTTTCATCCGATTCGACTGAATTTGTAAAATTCAGACGATCAAATTGAAGTGAATATTTCGCCAAATTTTTCATTTTTTCCCGAATTTCGTTCCAAAAAATAACATTTTCCATGCAAATGCAAATAATGAGACATTTTGTTTATTTGTGCTTTCCGGTCACTTGTTCACCGTTTTATTGGCCTGAAGAGTTTTTTTATCATATATTTGAAACAATAGTTTTTTATTCATGAAACATTTTTTTCTTTCTAAACAAAAAAAGAGATTTTCAGTTGGAAAGGAAAAGGAATGAGAGAATAGAAAGAAGAGAAAGAGCTGAGGAAGAATATTTTTTCATAATTTTTCGTTTCTTTTTTTGTTTTTATCTAATAATTGTACAACTGATTTTTGTATAAGAAGAGTTGCAAGTTTAGTCTTTTTTTGTTGAAAAAAAAACACTTTACTTTTTTTCCGCTGCATTTATTGGACGACATGAGTCTTTATCAGCATTTGTCCAGAATTTTATAGCAAAGGTATTATCTCAGTGTCAACTTGAACTTTTCACTGAAGAGAAAAAAAAATGTTGACGCTTCTTTTCCACATTGAATTTCAACCCTTGAAGTGTTATCATTTTGCCTGCAGAATTTTTTCCATTCTTTTGGTGAAACGTTGATAATGAGATCGAGAAGTAAAGATATAAAATACAATAACAATTGGTTTTTGATTATAAAAAGAAGGGAAATGCTCAGAAGAAGAGAGAAAAAAAAATTTCATTCCCTTTTTCATCATTTTAATCTTTTCCATCATCTGCTCATTCCAATGCAAAGTTGATCTACTTTTCTGTTTTTCCTTCCCAGTCACAATTAGCATAAAATTTTCTCTAATTTTCTTCTCTTTCCCAGAGTTTCCCTGGGTTCTACTTTTTTTTATACTTTACAAGCAAAGGATAAACATTCAACTCTAGATTTTATCCAAGCTGATGCTATCTTTTATCGATTTTTATTCAACTCTATCCTGATATTGGTTCAAAGAGTTTTTTTCTTCCATTCAATGTTCATTGTTTTCTCACTCGCCTCATCCCAGTAATAATCATTTAATACTCTGTTATATACATTTATATTTATATTTCTTTTCATATTTATTTTCATAAACTTCTCAATTCTTTATTTATCCCTTTTCCAAGTTAATCATTTTTTTATCATATTTTTATTCACCTATCATTATAACAAGTTTTATAGTTAACATTTATCAGACTCTTTTCTGTTCACAATCTTTCCAACTTTTTCCTCTCCTTCATAACAGTTTCAACTTTTCATATCTTTTCAATAAAAATGTTTGTACAACTTACGCCTTTAATATATCATTATATTTATATATTTCAATATCTCAACATTTTGCTTGGAGAAAAATGTTTCATCTCAAACATTTCAACATGATTCATAATTACCAGATTCGTCAACATTTTTTCCGTCTTTTCATTGGATTTTGTCTCACAGTTTAAAAGGCAAACATTTTCTGCTCAAAAGCACAAGGTGGGAGTTGATGTGCTGAGAAGATGAATGGAAATGATGGAAATGATGAGTTTTTTTCTTGTGCGTACTTTGTCTTCTTGTTTCCCTCTTCTTTCGTTTTTATACTTGTGTACCAACTGGCAATGGATATGAGAATGAAAAATGTAAAAGGAAAGAAAAAAAACTTGCTTTTGTGTTTAATGGTTGGAATGAAAAGAAGAGAGAAAAAAAAACGGAAGAAGAATTTGCTTTCAGTCTTTAGAAGTTTTTGGCATTTTCTGGTTTCTCTTTCGGAAGGTTGGAAGGCTTTGAATTGTCAGTGTAACATGGCAAAGACCAGTGAGATAATCATAAACTAAATGCGCCAAGAGAAAGAAGAAGGAGAAGGAAATGATGATTTTTTTTTCTTTCACTTCTTTTCGATTCTTCATCTTGTGCTCGTTTCCAATTAAATGTTGACGATTCATTGATTTATATCATGTTGAGCTTTTTGCTTTACTTTTCTCGTTTTCGTTCTTTTCACGTTCAACTCACTTGGACTCTCATTTGTGTGGATTTTCAAATGAAAAATGATGATCATCAGTTCTGAACATAAGTGTCAACAGAATTGCATGGTTCATGTGTTTACCCAATAAAAAAAACAAAAGTTATTCTGTCCGTAGTTTTAGTCACCCTTGATGCTCATGGTCTTGTGGCTGAGGTGAGATCGCTGTGTGTTTTGCATGATAATGTACATTAAGGAATGCAGCACAATTGGTGGTCAGTTTAATTTACAGTTTGTTTCCATTCAAAGACTCGATTCGTTGATGAAGTTGACATCTTGGAACCTTTTGATGCTGCTTCGTATCAATTGTAATAGGTTAATCTAAAGCATTTAGGTGTGTCAAATTCCTGTTATGAAAATGAATAAAAGAAAAGTAGAAAAAGATAATAATGATAAGAATTGAATTGTAATTTTAATCAATTGCATAAGCAAAGCGGATGGTTAAGCATTTGGATAAGCAAGGTAAGGAAAGGATAACAGGGAATGACAAGGATTCACTGGGAATGGAAATTGTTTATTTTTAGAATTTTATTTTTTCTATTTTCTCGCAAATTTATTTTCTATTCTCAGTTGATTGTCTTTTTAGTCAAGAAATATTGACCTATCAAAGAATCAAGTTTAATGATTGTAAATTGTACTTCTATTGAAAATCAATAAGTATTTATTGATTTTCTTACTGTTGTTCATCTTTCAAGATAGCAATACTTGTTACTGATTGAGACTCTTGAATGAAATGACTTTCTTGGTTTGCTATCTCAAGTTGTATTAGATGGGCACTTGAAGGGTCACTTAGGGTGTTGAATGAATGGTTAATTGTGCGGTTAAGGATTTTGCTTGTGCATCAATAATATGATAATGGTTAATGATAAGTAAAAAAACATTTAAACAACAAGAAAAGGGATGAGAAGTCGCAGTTGTGTCGGTGTGGGATTCCCACATCATCATTTACCCCAAAAGCCATTTGGAGGCATACGTTTATTTGAATGGCTGATGGTACCCTGAGGACCAGAAGCATTTGCACCGGAGAAATGATGATGTCCGGTGACGTGACAGGCTGTTGGATGGCAGGAGTGCCAAGAAGTAGATGGTGGTGCACCCACACTGGCAACACTGCCCATCTCTGCATCGCTTCCTGTATTACCTTCTTCCTGCATCTTCATCTGGTTGGCATAAAACTCCCATAAACGGGAAACTATGAGTGTGGCCATGATGGAACCGTGATTGTGTTCAATTAAACGAAGGACAAAAACACCGTCCCAACCCAAATATTGGCCTGATATTTTACGGGCCAATCGACCCACTTCAGCCATTGAGACTAATCGGGTTCGCCATAGACACAGACGAATGTAGGCCAACCTGTTGCACCGGAAGCTCCGCCATACCCAAAAGAGTAGACTTAATACATTAAGGGGCAACAAGAAGGCCATGTAGAACCACACAACGGAAAATATCTTCTCATTGAATACATTAATGGGCAGTACACATTGGCAGGTATACGTTCGAAGGCCACCTTGTATGGCAGCTCGAACTTGGCACAAGGTTTGCAAGGGGAACCTCGGTGAGGCCCACCATTCACCTTCGACCATCAGTCGGCGGATAAGTTCCAGGCCATGGCGAAGGAAACCTCGGCCCATAAATGAACCGAGTAACAGGAATTGAAGTCCAACGTTAAGCACATACAGACTTTTAACCAGTAAATAAAGTAGGCACAAATACCGACTGGGTCCTCCGGAGCAACAACGACACGAAAGTGGAAGTCGACATGAAGGGTCAGTACACCAACCCGCTTCCCCAGTAACTAAAGTGTGGAATTGATCAACAAACTCGGCCAACAAGGCTTCCCTCTGTTGACAACCAGGCGGAAGACTCGCTATGTCCGAGGCTTTCTTCAAGAGACGCCGAAGTTTAACACCAGCATTGTGAGCACACGAATTGTACACAAGGAAGGGCACATAGAAACAACATCCTTGCACTAATAATATCAACGGAGCCCACTGATAATAGCCGACACGCACTCGTCTCAATCTCTCCGGTCCCGTTGAGGCAACATCGAAACCTCCGTAATCTAATTCCTCGGGAAGGACTCGAGGATCGGGTGGATCCTAAAAGTGAACAAAACATTTCAAACAAACAGAACAAAGATTCCAAGTCGAGAAGAAGGAAAAAAAGAGAAAAGAAAAAAAAATTAAAGTTAATAAAATGAATTTGAAAAAGTTCATCAATCAAGACATGGAGACATCAAGATACATTATTGACAGATAAGCGCAAACAGATAATAGCAGCTTTAATGAAATAAAACATAATTAGTGGTGATGAGCAATGATATCATAATTTTAGTTGGTTAATCTAGTAAATGTTATTAAACTCAATTTGAGCAACAAAAGTAGTTATCATAATTATGTTTAAACTAATTAGATGTATTTATACAGAAAATGAATGTCGACATTTTTTCCTGGTTCCTATTACTTGCTAATTATTTTTGCCTTTTCATTACACCAATAATTACGCATGCTTGTACTGGTGAGTAAATTAAATGAAATTATTAATTAATTAGCCAAGTATACAAGTTGCACTGCAATTTAATATTTATTGATTGTTCAAGTTTGTACTTTCTTTGCTCAGCCAAGATGCCAACAAACAGCTTTCATAAACATTTGACAAACATTCAAGTTAAGCCTCTGAAAAAGAGCTTTCAATCATTTCCATAATCTTGACTAGCGATTGTTAACCAGCGCATGCATTTCACCTTTTAAGGGATTCTTTTGCTTTTTTGGCTGCTCAACATTACCTATTCCTGAGCTTCATGTAAGAAGGCTAAATGTCTCATTTGTGATGCTAATTCAATTCATGGTAATGATGATACTAATTTGAAATTAGAAAAGAGTTTTTCAATTTTCCCTTTTTTTCTTGGTAAACTTTTTCATTGATTATTTCATTTTGGTGAATAGACTTGAATAACATGGCAGCATTTTATCATGCAAGTGTATTGGGAATAACCAATTGAGGCTTGCAATTGAAGCTTTTTCTCACCTTTTTTTTGTCTCGGGTAAATTGATAAATGAAAACAACACTTACTTATAAAGCCACAAGCAATAAACATTCAGAAAACATTTATAACAATGACAAGACAAGAATATTTTGCTTTTTGGAAAAAACTTTTTTTTTCTCATTTTTACCTGATTCTTTCCCACTTGACCGACTATATCGTAATCTTCATCGTCGGCATCAGCTGCCACCAAGTAATAAGTGGAAGCAGTCCAACAATAAGAGTTGACATAACGAGCCTGAGGCTCGGTGAAGTATGTTGGTGTAAAACATTCAATTGGATCACCGATGTACTGTTTGGTAAATATGGGCAGAGCCAGGAAGAGGAACACCAATAAGGTATATTTTCGGTTCAATTTGTCCACTCCATCGTCTACCGGCACATGGATTCCACCGATCAAGTCGTGAAACCTGTTTACGTATCAAGGTCAGGGGACAATGAGGTCGGATGGACAGGATATATTTGTGTGTGTGTAACAAGTTTCATTGAACAATGTCAGGTCAAGGTTATGAAGAGTGAGTTGAAGGTCAGTGAAAGGTTAAAAAGGGTCGATTAAGGTTAGTATTAGGTCAATGTTGGGTGAAGGTTGTACAAAACAAAAAGGTCGACATTGATGGCAAATGAAAGTAAAAAGATGAATGGCAAAAGTAAAGAAATGAAAACAACAAATGGTTAGCAGCACAAGAAGGATTTTACAGGGAGTTACGAGGAGTTGGATTGGGTTTGATGGGCGACCAACACATAGATTGGGTTGGGGTTGGAGTTGCATGTTTGGGTGAACGTGATAATCAATGATTGGTTTTGAGGCAGCACGAGTGGCGATGGCAGCAGTGAATTGGCGAATTTAGATATTTTTTTTTTGGACATTAAGTTCGAAAGGTCCGAAAATTGTCCAAAAGTCCGTAGGTCAGCAAGTGCAACATGTTGTCATGTGTTAGATATGTAAATGGGAAAAGGTAATTGGGATAAACATTGAGACACAAATGTAAGCGCAAATCGAATAGAGACATTTTAAGTGTAAAAAAATGAACAAAATAATAACATTTTGTTTGTTTTTACTGAAACAAAATAATGAATTTCTCTCATTTTGAAGCGTTTATTTGAGCATGAAGCAAAAATGTAATGTTGAAAAATAGAAACAAAAACATGTCGAGAGAAGAATGAAAGATGCAGAAGAAAAAAAGAATGAAATAAACGAGTTATTCTTGATGTATTTTATTCCTTCCCTGCCATTCTTTTCATATTCATCTTTTCACTTTTCCTGATACTCGCAACTGTTAGTCTTTCCCTTACCAGTTCAGCAAGAAGCCTCTTATAATAATGTTTTACCATTTTATCTGTTCCTAATGTTTTTGAATCCATTCCCTTTGCATATCTACTTTTCAACAAAATACAAACAGAAACTGGAAAAAGTTTCAATATTTTCTTTTCTTTTTTCTTTTCGTTCTTTTCTCATCCATGTTTCACTTTACTCATCTTTATCCATCTCCTCCCTGTTCACAATTTTACCCACAACAATTGAATGATTTTTGAGCAGAAAACAGTCTTTCAAGGAAAAGTGAACACAGTGAATATAATAATGTGTAAACAAGAATAGCATCGGAAACGTGATTCAAGTATCATTCGGAATATTCTTTGAACTTTGCATCTTTCTTTTTCATCTTCTCTTCCCAATTCTTTTGTTTCTCATTTTTGCGTCATGTTTTTTTACTACCTTTGGGTTGAAGTGCTTAAAATAACAACCTTTTTCTGCTCTTGGAATAAAATTTCAATTAGTTTCTTCTTTCTGTGACTATTTTTGGGAAACATTTTTTTCCAGGAAAAGATAAACTCTGAATTTTGAGATTTTCCCCTTTTTCATTTTATATGCAAACAATGTGAATGCAAAAAGCAGGGGAGAAAAAAAGAAAAAAAATTCGATTTCATCCCCGAATTTCCAATGATGGAATATGTTTATGCAGATAATAAATGATATATTTATCTTTATTCTAATCAAAAGTTGCATTCTATCTGAGGAGAGGAAAATAAACAACGAAATAAAGAACAAAAAGAATAAAATTTACAAAAGAAATTCGATAATTCAACTGAAAATGAATTGTTTTCTGTAAATCTCTTCTGAATAAATACAAGAATCAAGCAGATAACAAATTGTAAGATTCATGCTCAATAAGAGTAAAAAAGGGTCAAATTAAGCAATTACAAGAATTTCATTTTCTATCCTGAATTTTTTTCCAAATTTTCATGTTCTTTTCTATTCATGATTCAATAGTTGAAAAGCAAAAAGCACAAGCAGCACGAAGGGATCAAAGGTAAACACTAGTGATACAGGAAAGTCGATGAAGCATGAGACGATAAAAGCAGCAAACATGAGCTCAGACTAAACTGTACAATGCTTTTCACATGAGTGAACATCAAGTTCACCTGCTAATGAAGAAGAGAAATTTTCTTGAAACTCGAATCTTCAGTTTTTGATTGCAACCATAAAAAGTATTAATAATTTAATCGCTATTTTATGGAAAGCATTGGTCAGTTTACAGTCATTAACGTGGTCAAAGCGAACAAAGAGGTTCTACTTTCTAAAGGATCTCTGCAATCAACATTAATGATGCATAATTTTCAATAATGATGGTTGAAGCAAAAGGCTGCCAAGATGAAAATAATTAAATGCTTAGAGGGAATGAAAAATAATAAAAGCATTTTCGTTTGGACTTGTAGACTTTTTGAGCAAATAAACGTTTTAAAAGAGAGAAACTGTTCGATTACATACTGTACTAACCGGAAGAGAAAGGACATTGCAGAGTGCTCGTGGTTCCCACGAGGATGAATCTTCGTTGAGGTTGACTGGTCTTTACGAGCTGTAAATTGTTGTCTTTACTGAAATCCAAATACAAAAGGAATGAAGATGTTGAGTAAACACAGGAAGAGTTGAGAGGAACAAAAGACTGGATCGATAATGTTGATGAATATATATAAATGTAAATGAGAGGATGATGTTGATCAAACGATTCGAGTTCACAATTTCCAGTCAATTGTAAAGTGTTTGCACAAAAATGGTTTCCAGTCAATATTTAGATCCTAATATTGTAAACTTATCGTTTTATTGCTTTCAACGTGAAAGTCAATTTTAAAATTATTAAGAGAAGGAAAAAAAAAGTTATTCTCACTCCCAGTCAATCCGATGTTGGAGTTGCGAATGTGGAAACACTTCGTCTTGGGCAATGGATTGGCAGGCTTTCAAGTTGATCAAGAGCGATCAGAATGAAGTGTAAAAGTTTCAACTGGAATTGATATCAGACAATATGACAGCTGGGAGTTTCGAGTAAAAAGCCGCAATTCGTTAGGTTATGTACATATGTATCTTGTATTTATAAATCTATGTTACAACGAAACTGTCCAATCGGAATGTAGAATGTAACTTTTAAACGCAACTTTAGACTTGAATTTTAGTGTAACGAATTTTACCCTGTGTTCTCTATTAACAGAATTTTTTCTTCTTATGAAACTTGTGAACACGATTTTTGTGATAAAAGTTAGTCGTCAAAATTGGTTTCCAATTTTTGTTGTCTTTTCCTTGTTGGATAATATGAGGTATTTTTGGTAAGAGTTTGAGGCTTGGAAGAAAATTTGGGAATTTCTTGCTAAATTGTTATCTAATTAATGCTTGGCTCAAATTTTTTTTATATAAATCAGCTTCTCTTCTTTCCAATTATCTCGACAGTTTCAAATTGCGCTAATGTTAATAATAATATCAATAATCGTTATTGTAAAATGAACGATCAACTTTTGTTAGTGTATAAAATTGTTAACTTTGGTTTTGTAAGAAGCAGGTAATTCCAATGAAAATTTGTTTGTTTCGATTTTGTTGCACTGTTTTCGAATAACGAACGATATTGTAAATTTAATTTCAACAGGGATAATTGTTAACAACAGACGTGTTGATGTGCGTTTGCTGATGGAAACCAGGTAAAACTTTGCTTTCACTTGGAATCAATTTATATTATGGATTACTCCGTTTGGTTTAACAATAAAATTGAAACAAATGTTGCAAATGAAATTGAATAATTGAAATACTAATAGATATAAGGGTAATAATGTTGCTGTATAACAATCAATAATATACTTTAACCTAAAGTAATTTGGATAATGATAATAATAATAACTGGTTGTAGAGGAAGGATGTGGTTCCAATGAATGTAGCAACGAGTAACACGCTAACAGTAGATTAGCACTTTTATCAATCTCAATGGAATCACTGTTGCCTTTATACAGACAATAAGGTAATAAAGATAATGATGATGATGTGGGTGGAAGAGGCAGTGATATTTGATGCGAAGATAAGCTTTTACTGAATCTTTTTCGCAAATATTGAATGGCGATGATCGAGCTAAAGAAACGTTCAACTTTATTTGAGCGTTTCGTTGATGAATACAAGACGAGTAGAGGCGACTCGAGTCTTGTGATTTGATGCAGTGAAGGTGAAGTGTCTAGGTTGGTTGGAAGGTCAATGAAGCTAGTATTCCTTGTTGATGTGCACGACTCAAGGAAAGGCGATGCTTTTTGGGCACAAATATACTGGCTCTTAGATGATGATGATGAAGAGTGGGATGATGAGGAAGATGATAACAATAACAAATTGCACTGATTATTATCCTTGTAACTGTAAAGGTCAACAACAACCACTAAATAACTTTCGTCCAAAGGCTTTGCTTTTGCTGCTTCAACTATCTTCAACGGCTTACAATAATGATAAAAATGCTGAGCAGGTAAAATTGTTACAGATGCTTTCATATTGTGCGGTCCGCAACCAGAAAAAAGTGAGTCAATTCAGTGTTGGGTAAAGGTGTCTTCAGGTTTACTTTACCGTGGCCGCTAGGCTTACAAACACCTTTAATGGCCTCAATTTTGATTGATGCTTTAAACGAATCAACTATGGAAACAATAATAATCCGAAAAAATTGGTAACAACTGAGTATTCACAGAACTGCAAACTCAGGTTTTCACGTTTAGACTGGTAATCAAGTTAGATCATGATTATTCTTCTTGGAAGGTCTTTTTAATCGTCCAAGAGCAGGTCCAATTGATGTTATAAACTTTGACACAATCATCTTGTCCAAGGCATTAAACTGTGAAAGAAGGAGAAAGGATTGAAATTAGCAATGAATCAGATTCAATGTTGAGATTGAACCAGGAAATAAAATTGACATTCAAGATTGAAATCAAAGAGGCTTCCCAGTTGACTAATATCACATCATAAAAGATAATTGGAAATATGAATGAAAAAAAACTCTTAAGATGAATCTTTCATGTTACATTGGATAGAGTCAATCAATTTGAATGAGTAAGAAGGTCAAATGAACGATATAAGTCCAATGAAGCAAATGATATTCACTTCCCTTTAACACAGATTGAACGAAATATAATTGAAGAACCAGAAAAAAGGGAAAGTATATTCATGTGTATAAAGAGGGATAATATTCACTTACATGATGGTAACAATGATGAGATTGAAATTGAACTGGTTAACAAGAGAAGAAGGAAAAAAATGAAAACCAAATTTGGTGTTTCAAGAATTGGATTCAAGTAGAAGGTTGATTTGGTTTGAAGATGAAAAGTATATTATAATTATCTTGAAGCAACAATGGATGAATAGTAAACATTCATGATGTTATTAAACTGAAACCCATGATAATTTTGGTTAAATTTTCCAATAAAATACTCAACACTTTTTTTCCTCTTTCCTACATCTCGCCTTCTTCTCCTTCCCTGTCTCATATGGTTAATACAGGGTGATAACAGTAAAAATAATGGTTACTTTCAAGAGAAGTAAAGACGAAAATGTTTTCATTATTCACACAATTCTCACTCTTTTTTTTTGTTGGCAAACTTTGGTTTTGCGCAGTTGAAACCGAACTGAAATTCGCAAGCTTTCAAGAAAATTGCTCAATTCTCATTGCGCATCCAAAGGCAATCTGGTTAGAGAGGAGAGCGAGTGAGAGGAATGAGAATCAAAGAGATAAACCAAAAGCTACCAAACCTGATTCACCCTGTAAGATGTGAAAAGACAAATACCTTGAGCCAAACAATGCCACCAGACGGAGTTGGAATCGAATTCCAAAAATAAAAGTTCAATTTCAAAACTCGAGTTGAACTCATTTCTTTCAATAATAAAAGCTTTAATAATAATAGTTTTAGCTTTGCCAATGCAAAGATAAATGTGATATAAATGAAACGAGATTTGTTAAATATTTATATTCAGGACAGTTTATTTTCCCATCTTTTTACCACTGAAATGATCATGAATTTTCAATGAAAGATCATGCAATTTCCGGTTCAATATAATATGCGAGTCAACTTTTCCTTTGCTTTTTCATTCAAAATCATTCCCTGTTTTCACTCCAAGCATTCACTCCCTGACCACACTCCCAGTCGCACTCCCAGCTCAACTCCCAGCTCTACTCCCAGCATTCACTCCCTTTGCTCATTAATTTTCTACTTTGATTCGTGAAACTATTTCTCGATATTTCATCCTTAATCCAAGGATAAAAAGCTAAAGGAGAGAGGAAAAGTAAAAGCAAAGACTAACATGTATTAACAATATTACCATTTGCTTTTATTTTTATCATCATTATTATACATATGAAATGGGAGGCCATTTTATCTTCCGGTCAATCTAATGTTGGCAAAATGAATGCTCATGCTCAACTCAATAAATAACATGGGAACCATCAAGCAAGAGAAAAGGCTTTTTCTATTTTTGATTCAAGAGATTGAGAGAGAACTGGGAGAGAAAAGTAAAAGTAAAAGAATGGGGAAAAGAGATATTTTTCGCTTTTCTCATTCCATTCATTTTCCTTTTGTTTTCTTTCTTTTTTTTCGTAATAAAAATTGTTTTCAACGGTAATAATGATTATAATAATTACAATGGAAAATAGTAGAAACAAAAAAAAGTACAAACCAAAACTCGTTTTCACCTTCAACTTTCATTGTTCAACTCTGCTTGCAAAACAAGTAATCAAAGATTAAATATTTATTTAACCATTAACGGAATCAGATTAATCTACTTTAATAATTTGATTTACATTAAATTACTTTGCATAAATTGGAAAGCAAAAAGGGTTTTCAATTCGATTCCATTGTTTTGTGCAAAGTCAAGTTATCGAGTTGAACAATTCCACTTTTTATCACCTTTTTATTCAAATAAACTCAATCAAAGCAAGAGAAAAATTTGTAGAATCATTTATCAATTATCACTTTTATCCGGAAACGTTGCAAATAAAGATATCATGTTGATTGGTTTATAGCGTGATTCGAGTTCATTCCAATTCGTTGAGTTACCTTTGAAAATTGTCGCAATTTTTGCAATAAAAATCTGGTTCTTCACAACTCAATCGTTCCACGAGATGGCAGCATAAAACGAAATCAATGTCTGAAAAAATTCTAATCGAAAAAAAATTCTACGATTTTACGAGCTTTTGGACTTTTGTCTAATTCACGTTTCTTTACATTCCAACAAGCAAAGCTGATCATGCATTCATGTGAGCAACTCAATGATCAAACATTACTGATGAAAGTTCCATGATTACTCAAGTGCAACTGCTACAATTACTCTGCTATTCATATCTAAGTGCACATCAATTGACAGTTGCCAATGGAAAAGTCTGATTAAAATTGATTTCGAAAATTTTCACCTTTGACATTGTCGAACGAAAAAACTATTTGATTCATTCATCAACTCATCGTTTATCTCAATTTCAAAGTCATTCACTTGAACAATAATTTCACTTGAAAATTCTGACAAATTTTTTGTAAATCTTGTTAAATTGTTCATTAAATTTTCTTTTCTTTCCAATTCTTCCAGACTTTTTGCAAACACAAAACCTTTTCTTACATGATTTGAACGCAGGTCAACTGGTTCACCTTTTAACCATGAAACAATGTAATCATCACCTTTGTCTCTGGAAAAGTTCAACGATGAAATGGAGAAAGACAATAACCTCAAGAACAATGAGAAAAGGTTAAGGTAAAAGAGAGGACAAAAAAAGAGTGAGAACCAAGTGAATATAAAATAATGAGCAGAACAAAAATCAATATCGAATGAAGAAAAGAGCAAATCTCTAAGCATTTCAAGATGTTGTCCTTCAAGAAGAACTTGAAATTTTCAAACAATTACTCTTGAAATTTACTCTTTAAAAGTCCATTCATTTTGCACAATAAAACATTGCAATCCGCGAAAAGATGAAAATTTGCGAAAAAATATTTTCATATTTTTCACTCCCAGTAAATGCTTGCAAGAAAAATTATCAAAAAAACTGTAAACTCAAAATTCCTGACAAAAGCTAGAAAAGTAGAGAGAATCCTTCATCGAACAATGAAAAAGAATGAAATTTTTTCTCCCTTTTTCAGTCAACAATTACAATTTATTTATCATTAACTGATTCAATAATGCAATAAATGGTGTGATAAGCCAACAATGAAATCATAATGAAAACAACAATGAAAATAATAATGAATTGTGTTATTGATAATCACTGGTTCATTCATTGTTCAACTGTCCAGATAATTATTTTTATTTAAGACTTGATATTAATGGTTGGACAAGAGAAAAATAATAAGGCGATAAAAGTGTTGAAAGTAAAGAAACTGGAAGAAATACGATTTTCGTTATCCTGTGCCTTTGGCATTTGATGATAATCTTGAGCTAACGAGATTTTCGTTCAATCCCAACAAATGCAACAAAAATGAATGGCAAATGATAATAAGAAATGAAATTAACCATTGTATCAATAGATTCACTTGATGCACTGTTCAACGTGTAAATAAAGGTATTGATGTTACAAGTATTTTCCTTGTCTCTTGTGTTGAGACAAGACGAGCAAATGATAATATCAAGGTAATAGCTTGTCACTTCTTGATTCAAGGCAAACACAAAAGAAGCGGCAAAATAACATTAACTTTGATGAAAATTTTTACAACAATTGATAACCAATAATAACAATAACAGCAATGATAATAATAATGATAATGATATTGATAACTTTGCTTTTTGTGAGCCTTTCAATTTCGCTTTTTTTTCTCTTTTCGTTTCTTCTTTTTGCTTTCCCTTCAACTAAACAATAAACTAGTTTTTGTTCGTTTTTTTTTCTTCTCCTCTCTTGTTTGCTGCCTTAATGTACATTAATAAATGTAATAATAATGATAATGATAATAATCAAAATAATAATCATAATAATAATGGTTTAATAACAAGCGTTTACCTTTTAATAATCACAAAGAATCACTTTAAGCTCACAATTTGTAAATATACATTTGTGTTCTTGTGTGTGTGTGTGTCTGTTTGTTGTGTTTGTTTGTGTACTGTTATGTGTGCTCAGAATGTAAACAATCAACTTGTGAACAATAGAGTTAAACAATAGAGTTACGTTAATTGATTAAATACAATGAAAAGTTTTTTCAAAAGGCTTGATTCTATGAGAATGCAGTTGAATGAGAAGAATGATTGAGGAAAATAATGCGCTCAAAGATGCACTTTTGCTGCTACAGAATACTCATCTCTGGAATACACTTCTTATTACTTCATTACTTCAATATCTAAATCTATTAAATAAAAGTTTAACAAAATTTTATGCTGAAATGGATTCCCAGTAAATGATACAAGAAACGTAAAATTCAAATTATATCGAATGTAAGAGGCAACTTGAACTTTTTACAGATCGAAATGTAAAAAATCGAAAATTTTCTTCATTTCAGTGATATGCAAAATCAAAATAATTATTTCATGGAAATCAGAATTATATTTCGATTCTGAAAAATCTATTCCTAAAGTAGTTTTGGATAATGGAAATTATCGATATTTTGTATCGAAAATTAACATTAGATTGAATGAATATCGATAAAATCGTCAATCTCTATCTGATTGATAGCAACGACGAAAAGTTTCGTTTTTCGAAAATTTAATAATTCTTCTGAGTTTTAAATCAGAATAAACTGGTTCGTCAGATTTTCCAGCTTCTATCACATCCTAAATGAACTTTATTGTAGATGTTTTCATTCACTCAAAATCTTTTCAATGTTTCCATGCATTACGATCTTTTTTGCACGATTTCTCAAAAGGAAAAAATGTTTC